GAAGATATCACTCCGCTCCTTTGGCCCTCTATAAAAACTGATGTCTCCCAACTTCGTCCGCTCTTGCGAAGCTTGTCAACGCAAGCGACCTCACCCCCTCTCGCATGAGCTCCTAATCCCCATTCATGCCGATGACTTCGGCAAGGTTTACCTCGTCCTCAGTAGCCCTATCACCATACCTCTCACGACAATAGATACAGCGTCTGTCTCATCGGTCTTACCAAATTTGTCATCACCACTCCGAACTGCAAAACCGTCACCATGGCTCACGCCGAGCGCTGCATTCTCGTTGTTCGGTGACATGACACACTTATCTCGGACAATGCCTCGTACCTTAAGTGGGACCTTCTTTCCGAGATCGGTCGCCTCCTGTGAATCGGCCGCTATTTCACACCCCATATCATCATGAGGGTAATGGCGCTTGTAAACGCATGTTTGCCACTTTCAGGAAGTGTTGCACCCCTATATCAGCGCTGACCAGTGTGATGGGGACCTTTTTTACCCTCCTTACAACACCTCTGATCATACCAGCACCGGGGAGTCCCCTTTCTTCATGATGTTTGGCCAATCCCGTATTTAATATCGGATTGCTCATTAAGCACGGACACGAGGGGCGCTTCGCGAGTCGATAGTAGTATGTACAGGGAATCTCCAGTGACAACCCTCAACTTTGATTGGACTTGCGCTGCCGAGCACAATGGCAACTGCAGCGCCGCTATCAAGCGGCAATACGACAAAAGCGGTCTCCCTCCTTTGAACATCCAGGTGGGCGATCGCGTTTACTTACGCGACTTCGCACCCAAACTAAGGCTCTCAGCAAAGCCCTGCTATCCCTGGCTCGGCCAGTTTTTGAATGTTCGCGAATGACCCGCCTAACCTCATCTTCGTCAGCATCACAGCTCCACAGGACCGTCCATATGAACCAAGTCAGCCTTTCCGGACCACTTTTTACTTCACCATAGGGTCCGGAAGCTGAGGCACAAGCTCTCGTCGGCAGAGGCACAGCCGGTTGCGGTCGTTAGTTATTCCCCCTATACCGTTCCAGCCCAAGCTCAATTCAGTTCCGTCAACAAGTTGATCATGGCGCATCCTTACAATATCCGTCGCAGGCGTCTTCTCTCGTCATGTTAAGGCCCTCGTACGACTCTCCGGCGATGTCTATATGTTTCCACCTCCTACACCATACGCGGTTCCATTTCCCTTCCTGATGAGCTTTCAGCAGAGGCGTAATGAATCCTGCTCTTCTAGAAGGACGTTCCGCTCGCCCCACTCGTCACTACGTTTCGGGCACACCCCGCACTCAATCAGCTCCCCAACGTGTTAGTGTACGGCGGATCGTTCAGCAGCGGGATTCCCGATCATCAAAGAACTCTCTTGACATATCGACTTCCCCTGCCGAATCCGCCCCTACCTCTCGCAGTCGTGGACGTGGATGGTAGTTCTCGATCTACTCATACACAGTCACATTCCAATGACGAAGAAGCCAACTGCACGACCCACCTCGTCCAGGCTCTACCTGAGATGGTAGGAATCTGCACGACCCACCTCGTCCAGGCTCTACCTGAGAAGGGCGCCCTCCCTCATTGGTAGGAATCACCGCGTTTTATTAACATCAATAGCGACTCCTCGAACATCGCGCGATCCGCTTCAGAGTTGGTTTACACAAGGTTGACTCTCTTTAGGGTCACGATATGGATGTGCTAATCATCCTCACCACTGGGACACGCATCGATCCGTTCCTCTGGAGACTTCCTTGGCGATCCTCAAGACGACGTGGCGCTCACTCGATTTTGCCACGGCTTCTTAATTTCAGGACGTGTAGGCGCTCTCCGCAATCTTCCAAACTGGAATCGTCTCCTTCGTTAGGCCGCCACCCGCGAAGGCCTTTCGTCACTGCCGAATTATTCTTTCAACTGTTTTTGTCAATGCTTACGGTGAGTAGC